GTTCTAGGTGCTCGTCAAGTGAAATGGTTAAGCAAGATTGTGATAGCGGACGAAGAAAATCGTTGTCAATGGCATTGCAATGATTACGAAAGTTTCTCTTCTAATACAGACTGGGATACAGTAGACTTTACTACCATGCCGTTAATACAAGATCTACCTGTGCAGTCTGCCATATGTGAGCCATTGAACGGTGCTTTGCTCGAGGAAGGAACTGAAGAATTTACTGTCAAAGGTTATGCTTGGAGTGGTGGTGGACGTGGTATCGTTAGAGTTGATGTTTCACCTGATGGAGGTGAGTGAGATATGAAAACATTGTTGTGTGAATTTTTGAATGTTTACCGATGGTTTATAGGTTATCTCATTCAGGAGATTTTATTCTTTCGTTGTTGAAAGATTTTTTCTGCCTAAATCTTTAAACAGAATTTATAACTGGATGGCTGCCTTAGTTTTGAGCTGCATATGCCTGCTCTGGCATGAAGCCAAATTTAACCTTGAGATGCGCGTGTCACATTGTAACTCACTGTCTTAATGGCCTTTTATGGGCGTGTGTGGAAAAATTGGCACCAGCTGAATTTGCTTGTTTCAAGTTTTAGCTTTCCTGTTATATTCAATTCAATGGTCTTATATCACGCTGCTCACGTTTTAGGCATAGAGTAACTCGCAAAAATCAATATTGAGGATCAGCTGTACCATTAAAGCTGATGTCTCCACACTTTTCTTAATGTTACAGAGCTTTTCATTTTAAGTTTCTTCATGGAAACAAGTTGACTTGGTGGGATCTTACATGATAACTTTTTGTCCTTCTCGTACAACTAACCGATGAGAGAGTAATTTGTGTTGATAAATGTTTATGTCCCTTGGGACAACATAGCAGAAAGCTGATCTGAAGAAGACGGAGCAACCTGATGGTAAAGCATTGGGATGGATTCTTTGGTAGGTGACGATACTCGTGTGAAACTGTTGAGGTTTGTTGTAAGGCCATAGATTATCCCTATAAAATAATCAACCGGAAAATGTACCTCCAATATGGAACTGTCTACTATCTTGCACAGGATAACTGTCACTATCCCCATGAGAATTAATACATTTGTAACGTCAAATTGAAATTTCGTAAAAACGTTAATAAAATTAATGCAACATTTTAGAAACATTAGAACGTTTAACGTCATTTTCAAAGTTATGATGGCTTGCCTTCTGACGGTACGTCTTGTAGTAGTATATACTTCCTTAGCAATTTTCATTTACCGTCAACGTTGTAATTTGAGCGTTATTTTACTTGTATCGACATTCATCATGTAACATGACTGCTTAAAGTGTGTGTAAAACTGTCCTAAACTTTGAAATTTGATTTTTAAAACTGCTTTTATGTTTGTTGCAATGGCGGGAAATATGCGAAGGCGTCTTTTTGTGATTTTCCTCGTAAGTTTTTAAAGTGCAGATTTTCCTCCTGTACGTCTTTGCTACAAAGTGCATGTATGTACTTAGTGTTAGCAAATGACTCCTGGTAAAAAATAAAATCATGATCCTAGCGGAAAAACTATTATGCCGAAGAAATCAACTTTTATCCAAGCGTTGATCAATGTCTTCCTTTGAAAACGGACTGAGGCAAAGTTATTTTCTAAGAATCTAAAAGGAAAAAAGTTTTCTCCACCACCATGCTTTGCGCATTTATATTTTGATAATTAAAATTTGTCATCCGTGAAAGTCTTGTGGAATTTCAAATATTATGTATTGTTTTTCTAGCTAGGATCATGTTGTTTTTTACAAGCATTAGCTACTGCTTTATTTTTTGGCTTTACCCCATTTCATGAATTGTTTCACACATAATTCTTGAATGTACATGATAAAACGTCATTTTTTTAAATTGACAATATGGTTCTTCCAATCAGAAAAAGTAGAGATGCAAATAGGCGCATGGGCTTCATACAAAGCAGTAATAAATAATACGTTCAACCTAACTAAAGTGCATTTATAAAACTGCTGCCTTTGGACGTCAAACACGTCAATCACCCGCTTTATAATGACGTCATTTGTAAGGTAATTATTATTTGTTTTGAACACAATTGAAGGAAGCCTTGAATTTACCAGAATTTTACCCTTTTTAAGTAATCATCAAAGTTACAAAGCTTTGTGGTGGTATTGCTTGCCAAGTTGACTGCTTCACATTTTTGTTCGTTCACCGTGGCCCTGGATAAAAATCAAATAATTCAATTGGTCAAGAATAGTCACGTGACACGTCAGTCAAACTCCAATATATTCAACATGTGCTCAGGGATGGCTGACATATTTAAATTTCTTGCCAGATTAATATCCGATTTGAAACGAATTATACAACAATTTGGAATCGCAAATGGTGAAATAGCGGAGCCACGTAAGAGCGAGACAAACATTTGATGATTAAAAACAAGAAAGTGTGCAAAAGGTGGGCGCTTTTCTTTAAAATAGCGGTAAGAAATATTTATACTCTAGATTTTATATGTTCCAATTTTGATTTTCCCTTTTCTGCTCGCTTGTGCTGTGATTGCGAATTGTGGGAATAGTATTATCGATATTTATTTCGCCCTTGTTTCGTGCACGAGATGAACTGTTCTGTCCAGATTATCTGGGATTTAGCCGAAGACCAGTAGGCTGAATGTATTTGGTGGTTTTATTGCTTATTGTAATAAATTCAGGTATGACTTTTTGAATACACTTTTCACGAAGTAAATATTAAAATCAAGGACATAATTTCGTGTGGGAGAGTAAAAAAAAGCAGTGTGAACTTGGTGCATTTAAAAATACAAAGAAGAAATGTCGGTTGGGGAAACGCTGGCTAATTCATTTTGATTTTTGACAAAAGTCAAAGTTGACTTTTTATCTGTGTGCGTGTGCTTCTTTATACATGTAAATAGTTGGTCAGAAGTTTCTCCAATATAGCGTTAATTTTATTCGGCACATTAAGATTTGATAAACTACCAAAGATGTAAAAAGTTCAGGAAGTGAATCTTTAAATGAGAAGAGAGATTTTAACTTGAGAGTTGCAAAAATAATAGTCTTTGTCTTGACAATAACATGTGATGATTAGTGGGAGTTTGCATTGAGTGCGTATTGAGTAATCATCAGGTCAGGAGGAAGGTGCACTGAATGCACGTGCACTTCGTTTTTAAAAAACTTTGATTAAATTTGATTAAATCGATGTATTAAAAATATTTAAATTTATTTAATTTAAAATTTTAGGCAGCTAAATCCATGCAGAAAATTGTTATTTGTTGAGTAGAACTTGGTGTTAAAGTTAATCCTTCATCATTTGAAAGAAATTACGTGTTTTTTTGGTTTGATCATTAACGCATATTCAAGCCTTTGTGTTAATCTTTCATCATTTGAAGGCAGAGAGGCGTAACTAGAACGTTAATTGGGGGGTGTATATTCATATATTCAGTTGTGCCCTACTGATTTCTTTGGAGGGCACAACGTAATATATGAATATGCACCCCCCAATTAACGTTCTAGTTACGCCTCTGTTTGAAGGAAATGACGTGTTTTTTGATCATAAATGCATCTCAAGCCTGCATTTTTCTCGATACCTTGAATAATCTGAGTTGTAGAATTGTTGACGGTTTCTTTCCTTGTCTCTTCTTGGATGTGTTAAAACTCTCTGATTAGTCACTGTGAAAAATAGCTCATTTTCAACAAAGTGATTGCTCTGTATTTCTCTTTAATAAATTATAGAAGTGATTCATAAAATACTTGTACATTTTCAATTAAACTAGTCCTTGCATTGGTGTTCATAGTGCTATTTTCATAGTTTTAACAAAACTAATTACTGAACTCGCGTAAACAAATTATCTCCTTAAGTAGTTCTCTGTTTTTGTAAATGTATCTAAAACTTCTTCGGTTTTTGCTCACTTTTGACGCTGTATATGTGAGTGTTGATCTGTACGCTTTCCTTTGTGCTGATTACACTCGGAGCTTTTTAAATTAATGAACTCTTTTTATTTTTTTTAATTTATGCATTACATTGGAGGTAGTATTATTTGACAAAAGGACAACACCCATTGCATTAATGATACAGCTAAATCTGTTATCAACACGTGATCTTTTGCATTAATTTTCATCCTTGGATTTTCTTAATGCCAAAATATCACCTATGGCTTCGCCGTAGTAAAATAAATATTAACAGCCCCGTTCATTATTAATCATTTCATCGAGAAACTTGCTTTTAGAACTACCCTTTATTGCCAGCTCTCATTTTACTGTAAGTTGTCTAAAACTGGAGATGGTTGTACTGGTAGAGTTTGGGAGAAAGATTCAACTTCTTTTCAATATAACTGCTACTGATAAAAAAGTTTTCCTAAAAATATTTAAGCATTAAATGCACAAAAGTAATTTCCATTTATCTTGCACTTTTACAGCCAAAAAGAAATTGTTAATTTGATGACTAATGACTAATGACTAATGACTAATGACTAATGACTAATGACTAATGACTAATGACTGATGACTAATGACTAATGACTAATGACTAATGACTAATTGTTAATTTGATGACTTTGTTAATTTCATAATTAGTAAGTAAAATTGATATTTCATATGGATTTTCTCTAAGGCAAAAATAAACTTTTATGTTATTAAGTAATTAATGGAAAATATTTTGTGTTCTTGTATGTGGATATAAATTATGTAAATTTAAAGTGGCTATACGAATCAGTTCTATGTCTAGCTAGAGAGTCTACGATTCCAGCAAAAAATCATTATATTTATAAATGGATTTGAGATTTGAATTCTATAAAGGCGTTAGCATTTGTCACTTTTCAATCCGTCTTTGTTCTAATGATTGAATAGATGTCACTTCCAAAACGTAATTGCAGTCGACATTATTGACAATAAAAAAATGATGATTGCAAGCATGTTAGCTTTCAGCTGGTCTGCTAGGTGAACAATTTTCTCCTTTTATTCGTGGTCTCCTCTGTATCTTTTGATCAACTTATTTTCTTATTCTT